ATGTGGCTGCATCTCCTTTTCTTTCTATATGAAATAAGACACCTTACTGTGAAGGTAAAAGGGGCAGGAATTGGGCCCGAGGGAGAAGCTCTAGGAACCTGCAGCGTTGGGTGAACTGATGCCGGGCGAGGTGTAATTGGCGCCGTGGGATGGTGCTGTGGGATGAAGTCGGAAAATGAAGATGGGATTTTGCGGGGGCTGGAGTCTGGAAAGCTGATTTGATGTGGGAGCTTCAGATCCAGAATGGCAGGATGTCTGGTCAGCAACATGCCTGGGAAAGAAACGGTGAAGGGCCAGGGAGAGAGTCTATAGTGGTTCTCTTCAGAGGGGAGCTGCTTTGCATAAAGGGGACAGTGACAGACTGAACTTTGGGTCTTGGGTGGCAGGAGCAGGTAATAATAAATACAAAATCTGACTTGCAACAATAAAAGGGAAAATGTCCTAAGTAAGTGTTGTGCAGACAATGTTTTCAGCTTGAAACGTAGAAGAGATGGGCCAAGGGATTATAGAGAACAATAAAGGAAGGGAAAAAGAAGAGATGTGTTTCTCAGGATGACATTACATAACATAATGTAAACACTAAACAAACAAAGCCCTCAAACCAGCAACTGAATTGCAAATGCTCCTCTAGGACACAGTCCGTGGCCCCTATGGGCAGGGGTCAGCAGTGCCATCTCTGGCTGGGTCCATTGCCGTTACTGCCCCCATCCCCCCGAGAGCCTCTCAGGGCACTGCATCCTCTGTGGTGCTCTGACCCATGGATGGATGCAGATTCTTCCCGAAGTCCTCAGGCGTGGGTACCTATAACCGCTTGGCAGAAGGGAAGCAGACACTAAGAAGACTGCAAGTCCAGATGCCTGGCATGAAAAGCACAAGTTCATCTTTAGCATGTGTGCTGCAGGCACACGTTTTTTCTGGTTCCTGTTAGAATCGTCCATCTCCATGAATAAGAGCTGCTATAGGGCTACTGCGTGTTCTCAGAGCTCAGGACAAAACCCAGAGGTTTAGTTCTCCCTCTCACCCACACAGGTCTAGCTGATGCTTTGAGGATGCTCTTCTGCCCTGGGCAGCTGAGAATGGGAGTGACATTTCCTTAGGCAAATCTCCACCTACCCCTGCAGAGAAAGCTGACCCTCACCATCTACTCAGAATTACACCCTCAGAATACAGCGGAGAAGACAAAACTCACATCAGAGCAACGCGCATATACCTGGTATCCTGGGGTCATTTTATGGATGCAAAGCCTTTCTCCCTTTGCTGCCAGCTGAGCCTCTGATAAGCCCTGCTCTGCCATTGGTGAGGGATGGTGGTAAGCAAGTTTTTAGGTGATGGACAGAAAGTTCAGGGAGTGCCAGGGACCGTGAGGAATGTGGTTGTGCCCTCAGGGAGCCCATATCATTTCTGGGAGGACAATATTCACCCACAGAAAAAAGACAGAGAATGGAATACCATAGCCCGAGCAGGTGATGCCTTAGCCAAGGTCTGAAAGGCAGGTGGCAGCAGAGCCAGGGGGTGGGATGTCCTTCGTGTACAGCTGGGTAAGGCCAGCATCGCCTTGGGAAAGCGGCAGCCCTACATTCCTGGAAGGGGTTATTGTGATGGAAAAGAGGACCAATGCCCTGGGGCATCACTGGAGTCTGGGAGAAAGGGAGGGCTCTAGCTGTGAGCAGGTCCCTTGCTCCTCCAGCATAGCTAGCTCCCTGGGACAAGCTGAGCGCAGAAAGGGCTTGCGATGGCACTGACTGGAAGTGAGTGGTCCAGGGGAGACAGAAGGCTCTGAGCATGACGGATTGCTTTCACTATGCTGCAGTCCCCTCCTGCCTGGAGGGGAATGACTTAGAACAGGTACAAGAATTTGAACTGCCAACTGCGATTGCTTGGTGACTGTCATTGCTTGAGAGAAGCCAGCTCAGGGAGGAGCCTCTGTTCTGGGCAATTACGCCTGGCACACGTCCGCAGAACCCGCACTCACAGCTGGGTCCCAGGGGCTTGGGGAGCATCGCGGCTCCTCACCCTGGCATCCGAAATCTTGGCTACCAACCCTCCCCTCCACCGACTGCTCCAAATTCGCTCCCCATTTGCTCCCCAGTCCACACCCCCTCCGCAAGCCAGACCGGCTTCCTGACATTGTTCACTGTGCCCTGAATGGCCTCCCGTCTCTTGGTTCCTCTCCTATTTTATACAGTGCAGCCTTCACCCAACACCTGCTTCAGGAAGAACCAGCCTTTCCCCTAGGAACTGGATGGGCTCTCCCAGTGAGGAACAGCCTGCTTCATCTGTGGTTAAAACAAAACAAAACGAAGCAGACAAACAAACAAAAAGCAACCCAGTAAAACATGGCTCACTCCAGTTTGCCCCACAAAGCTGGGAGAAGGGGCTGGACACGAGACACATATCTGGGACCTGTGGTCATGATCTTCCCTGGAGAAAGGAGCACTTTGAGCTCTGAGGCTGCAGCCCTGGCCAGGAGTAGAAGAGAGAACAGCCCCGAGATGGGCTGGTCAGAAATGGCGGTTGCCCCCAGTGGAGGAGTAAAGTGGACCAGTATGGTGGTAGGACGGAAGATTGCTCTCTAGGTCTGGGGCCTGGGATAGGAATGCCAGGAAAACAATTTGACCATCACCACACATATCTGAGATCTTGGAGGACCTGTCTGTGATCTGAAAGCCTGCTGGGACAATGGCTGGGGAGACAGACCTAATGGCTGTCTACAGTGGGTGAGCTAGAGGGAGGAGGGGGGTGATGGAGAATCCAGTGTCGGCTTCTCCCACCCAAGGCTGGCAGACTTAGGCAGGGAACCACCATCACGTAGTTGGTCCAGACGTTACACCTGCTTACATCGCTTTGCCTGGCATGGTGAGCAGGTGCAGGGAGGCGCTGCTTCCTTCTTGTCTTTGTTCCACACAGAGGTACATTTTTCACCATTCATTCATGCATTCAGCACTTGCCAATCACCTGCCTTGTGCCTAGCCCCGTGCTGGGGCTGCAGACACACCAGTAGATGGATAGCATCCCTGCCTCCTGGACCTCCCTGTCTAGAGCTGAAAACAGCCTCATGCCCCGAGGTAGGGGCCCCACGCATTCTTCACACGCAGAATGAAACATTATCAACACGTTTCACTTTGCATACATTGAACACTGAAACAAGTACAAACTCCATTAGGAAATTACATTTAAATATATTTCAATGTGATTCCAAATCTGTAGGTGTCTCATTTATCAAAGACAAAAAAGATTGGGTTCATTCTCCAGATACGGCTTTGTGTTTTGCTTTCCTCACCTTAAATCCCATTGTGAGCTCGTTCGGAGCTTAGAAAGCTTTTATATTCTTCCCAGGCTTTCTTTTCAAAAGTGAGACTTTCACTGGGGCCAGTTGTTACACGTCAAAATAAAACAAGGTGAGTTCTTCTTCACTCAGGTAGCTTTTCATTCATTCATTCTTGGGTTCATTCATTCAATGACTGTTTCTTGAGCACCTACCATTGGGGCCAGACATATGCTAAACCTGAGAAATTCCACTGTGAACAAAAGAGACAGAATCGTGCCCTCAGGGTCCTCAGGGTCAAGTGAATTACACTCAACCAGAGTTCAGGTCCCCTGAGGTCAGGGACACACAGATTCCCACTCTGGCTTGTTCCTTTTTCTCTGTCTCTTGCTTGAAATAGACAGACACAGAGAAGACTCTCCTTTGTTCTTTACCTCTCACAAGTCTTAGCTGTGTCTCCCCTACTCAGCATTTCACCTTGTCTACTTTGTTCAAAGGCAAGCGATTCCGGTTCTCTCCAGAGGTGGATTTAATTACCCCCTCCCATCTTTCTAGTTGCAAGATGAAGGAAGATAAAGTTGTGCAGGGGACGATCTGAGGGCAATGACCCAGCTGGGTCCTCAGGTGTCCTTGCTTTGCACCATGAGGTCCTGCCAGTCTGGCCTGCTGAATTGGATTAGGAATAAATGCCTGCCTAAAAGGCAGCCATTCAAGGTCTGACCAGTGACCTATATGTGGTCTGGCGTCAGCCTGTCCCATAGGGACATGAAGGACCAACAGAGCTAATCGCACCCTCTCTTGGGGAGTTAAGAATGAAAGATACAGAGCGATAGACACAGAGAAAGAGGTAGAATGTAACAGGGGCCCTGAAGCTTTTAAGACCTATGAAGGGAAGGCAGCAGACAGAGCCACAAAGTGGATGAAACCATGGCGCGCCCTAAGTTATGTGTAAGCAGAACCCTGCGACAGCATCAACAACCAAAACGGTGGCACAGAGATAACTCCAGCATCCCTGCTCGGCCACCAGAACTGTTGGTGCCACCACAAGAGCTCTTGTTATTCCATAAACCATCCAATCCTCTGCGAGCTCCATCTCTGCAGCTGGCCTTCCCATCCTTATTTCCCCTTAGTTCATTGCTACACCTGCATCCTCAAAGGGTAACCTGAACCTTCTGTCTTTGCATCCTAAAAGATCTAAACTAGCACAGATATCCACCTCCATCGAAGGCCATTGCTTCTCCATTACCAGAGCCAACACGTTTGAAACCCCCTAACACAGAGGCTGGATGCTGGATCTCCAGCCTCTGCCTGTATGCCCTCTGTGCAAGCCCAGGGAACACGCAACCTTCCCCAGGTGCTGAGCAATTATTAAAACTTGAAATGCACCAGCTGAACTCCGAACTCTTAGGTAAAGTGAATTGGCCCTTTCTCCTGAGCACTGTGGGACAATTCCTATTGATAGGAAGCGGTCATGAGACTTGAGAAAGGGCACACTGGACAAACTGGGCACACGAGTTGGATGAGCTGGCTTGGACATTCTCAGCTGTAAAATGGGGGTACTCTATCGCCCAGGAGTTGTAAGAACAAACAGGCTACTCTATTTCTCACAGCAGAGTGCCTGTGCTTTACAAATCCCTCTAGTGATGCACTGTGAGGATTGGAAGGCAAGTCCAGCACCTCCTATACACATGGCCAAGCTGCCTTCACCCAACAGTACCAACAAGAGCAGGCCCACCTTGCCAGCCAGGCTTGCAAACTGGCTTTACGTCCACCTGCACCAGGGTGTCCTGCGCTGCAGGCTTCTGTCCACAGTCGTAGGCGGTCACCAGGATCTCATACTGGCGTTGCTTGTCATAGCTCAGCTTCTCCGTGTTCCTGACGTTGCCTGAAGATACAGGGACATTGAAAATCATTTCAGATCAAGTTAACCACTTTGCAGTTCTTCAAAATCCCTTCTGCCCTCTTTCAACCTTCACCAGAATAAAATGTCCCCTTTCCCTATCTCTTTGTAAAGACTAGGGCAAGTAGGGACGTGGCTTCCACGTGTGACCTGCTTGTGCCTTGGTGGCAGATTCTCAGGAACTGCCGGCTGGAGCCACCCCACCTGTGCAACGGAACTGCCGGGTAATTCTGCCCACACATCTGGAATCCAACTGGTTGTGTTAAGTACGGGGTCGTCAGAAGACCACCCTAAACTGCACCAAACTAACCCTACATTAGGCTGTGTCCCTAATGTAGGGCAACGTATGTTCATCTGACATGAAATCTCTGGGAAAAAGATGGAATTCAGAAACGTCCCGACACGTATTTTTTAATATCTGGGCTCTTCGCCAGGAATGTTCATTGCCTCGTCTCACATTATTTTGCTACCAAATAGGAAGTAAAATCAATACGAGAAAACGTGTGACCTCTCTTCTGTAAGCTACACAGAATAACAGATTCCTTGCCCTGGTGGCAAAGACATTTTTCTCCTCCAAGAGGGACCAGACATTGTTTCTGAGCCATTTGTGGGTATTTGTTCCTGTGGGTTTGATATTATGGTTCAGAAATAAATCTTTGACAATTGATGAGCAAACTTTTAATTGACTGTTTTTGCTGAAATACAATTTTGGTTTCAAAAAATGAAGCAAGGCCTGACGTGCATTTAATACTCCTTACTTTTTTTTTTTTTTTTTGCAGTACGCGGGCCTCTCACTGTTGTGGCCTCTCCCGTTGCGGAGCACAGGCTCCGGACGCGCAGGCTCAGCGGCCACGGCTCACGGGCCCAGCCGCTCCGCGGCATGTGGGATCTTCCCAGACCGGAGCACGAACCCGTGTCCCCTGCATCGGCAGGCGGACTCTCAACCACTGCGCCACCAGGGAAGCCCTACTTTTTACTTTTTGATTCCCAGAGCTTAAAGTCTCCCTTTGTTGAGAATAATTTCATTCTGGCTTTTTTTTTTTTTCAATGGTGGAGCTGACAGCAAATTAGAATTCAAATGATGTCACCATCCTTTGCCAGAAGCGAAATCAAGAGAGTGGCATGGACATATATACACTACTAAATGTAAAACCGATGATACCTAGTGGGAAGCAGCCTCACAGCACAGGGAGATCAGCTCGGTGCTTTGTGACCACCTAGAGGGGTGGGATAGGGAGGGTGGGAGGGAGGGAGACGCAAGAGGGAAGAGATACGGGGACATATGTATATGTATAGTTGATTCACTTTGTTATAAAGCAGAAACTAACACACCATTGTAAAGCAATTATACTCCAATAAAGATGTTAAAAAAACAAAAAAAACCCAAATAAACCAACAAGCAAATACACAAACATGGAATGGCTGACTCAGGTATATATATTTCATTTTTGTGCACCTTTGTTAAAATTAAAAAAAAAATTTATTGAAGTATAGTTGATTTACAATGCTGTGTTAATTTCTGCTGTACAGCAAAGTGATTCATTTATACATAGATATACATTCTTTTTCATATTCTTTTCCATTATGATTTATCACAGGATATTGAATATTCTTCCCTGTGCTATATTGTAGGACCTTGTTCATCCACCCTATGTAATACTAGTTTGCATCTGCTAATCCCAAACAACCTCCTTGGCAACCACAAGTCTGTTCCCTATGTCTGTGTGACTCAGGTATATTTTTCTGTTTCATCAAAACTAAGGGGAAACTTTTTAATGAGTTTTCTTCCATGCCAACTGATGTATATTGTTCATGCAAATTGAGACAACAGGGACCGACCCAAGAAAGCTCAGAAAATTAGAAAAGCCACATCACGTGTTAAAGATAGGAAACATTCATCCACCCATCACTCAATATTAGTAAGACAGTACTCAGCACGAGGTCATGAGCAGGAGCTATGAACGTGAGCATAGGTCAGGGTGTGGAGGGTCAGGGGGTACGAAGTTGCCCAAGACATTGGACCAAGAATTGGAATCATTTCTTCTGCTCTCTGCTCTGGACTGTTTCTAAAAATGCAACTGCAGCCAGGGATTGGAAGTCAAGTTTCCTTTAACAAAGCCGGTCAAGAATCTCTGAATAAAAATGTGTTTGCTGTATCTTTGGCCTTGTGGCGGATGTTCAGAATCCCTTTCCTTTTTCTCCAAATATGTGTTTTGGTCTCAGCTCGGGGTCCCAAGCACATCTGCAACAGCTCACTGTGGGGTTGGTAACATTCCCTGTGGCTTCTGTTAATAAATTAGTTCGTGGTTAGAGCCATCACAGGGGAGGACTTCTGCCAGGTGGAAGCACTGCAATAGGGCCACGAGAAGTATGTTTCAGCAACATCTAATTGAACAAAAGGTTTTAACTTTCTTTAAAGTTAAATGGCTCTCAAAAGATACACCTCGTAGAAGAGGAAGGCTCAGGGTTTACTGTCCGTGTGACATTCAGCAGACCAAACACTACTGATTGCGGTAGAAAAATAAATAAACACACGAGCCCGCAATCCTTGGCTCCATTTACGGCAGCTCCCCTTCTGTAAGAAGTCTTAATGAAACTGAGAAACTACCTTCTCCACCACCAACTTCACGCATGGGAGAATGGGTTTCAGAGCACAGGATTTGAAGCCTCAGAGTATAACATTTTCACTGATGGTTGTAGAGGGAAGGGTCGTGTCTGGCTAAGTCACACATTTAAAAACATTTTGAAAGATCAGAAACAGCCCTCCTTTTTGCTTCTGTGACAATTGTGTTATTTTCCCCACATGTGAATGATTTCTCCTAGAGGTGCCTTCTCAGGAGAACCGAGTCCACAGTTAACCCAGGTGAGTTCTGATCTCTGGGCTTATTTCTCTGTTCCAGATGAACTTGGGAAGGTTAACTCTCAAAGAACTATCCGTACCTACCACGTGTCATAGTGAAGGTATTTTTTAAAACCTCAGGTGGAGTAGGGGTTGCAATGAGACAAGTGCACTTACCTGCACCCTCCTTCTGATGGAATTTAAATCGGAGTCGCCCTGTGGGAAACTTATGCAGGCCAGTCACTTTGCAAGTGTTCATACCTTTTGGCCATGCAATTCCACATCTAACAACTGACTCCAGAAAAAATGATAAAAATTGCAGACAGAGGTGCAAATATGTTCATCTAAGCATTCTTTATTACATTGAAAGAGAGTAAAGAAACTGGATGCCCAATAGGAAGAGACAAGCTAAGCCTGATTCTCTGCTTAGACGGACTGCTGTTCATGCTAAAAGTGCTAATTACGAAGCATGTTTATGGATGGAAAAAATCCACACAATCGAATGTTAAGTGAAAAGGGGAAGCTAAAGAAAAGCAAGGAAAGCGTGGCCTTATTTTGTTCAAGAACTTCATAGAAGAAGTGCTGGTAGAATGTCAGTAGTGGTTCTCTTTGGTGGGATAACAGGTGACTTACTTCTTATACTTTTCTATGCTTCCCTTGTTTTCCACAAAGGACGTGCGTTTCTCTTCTATTCAGGTGGAAGAGAAGTGTTTTCATGTACTTGGAGAACAGACAGACTTGAGGACACACTGTGCTCATAGGTATCCGATGCCTGTTACTCACCAGGGCAGCCTGTGGAGGGCTCAGCAGAGGCTGCATGAGACCAACCACTGCTTGGAAGGTAGAAAAGTCTGCCAAGTAGAGACCGGGTGTCACCGAGAGTCCTGATGCTCCCTTAGCCATCATTCCCATCCCTGGCTGAGTGCAATACTTAATTCCTATGTTACAATGAGGATCTGAGGCCAGGTTTAAGTAGCTTGTCAAGGACCTCTCTCTCTCTCACACACACACACATACACAGAGTGGTAGGCGTAGGATTAAGACACCTTTGTATTTTTGAACTTAAATACCACTGCCATGTGTTCCTGTCAAATGTCACTGAAGACAGTGATAATATCACTGGTGAAAAGGCTTTGGGACCAACACTCGGGGGACCTGGCTCCAGTCCCCACTCTGCCACTGAGGTGACAGCTGCTATATGGCCAGCTCTTCATGCTTTAGGAATCAGTTTTTCCATCAGTTCAATGGAAGTGAGGAAGGAGGCCCTCCCAATCTCAGAGAGACCAGCCAAATGCTAGAAGATGGGGGCTGGAAGCCATCTGAAATGGATCCAGAATTTCCCAAGAGGGAGGTAATGCCACCAACTCAGTTATTGGCTCACAATTTCAGTCTGTAAATCCATGAGGAATGAATACCCTTCGTGTCCCAGTCACCCAGGTAAATATCTAATAATCATGGCGCCATGAATGGAACACTATATGCTAAGTACCTGTGAACATCATCCCCAGGCACTGCCTCTCCCTGAGGCCTCACTACCCCACAGTGGGGCAGGGACTCTTACTGCCATGAGTTTTCAGGGGAGGAATTCAAGGGAAGGGGGGCTGAAGACTTCTGGTTGGAAGAGGTTGAATCTTGCGTTAAAAGAAAAAGTCCTGGGGCCTGAATGAGTGGAGCCCAACTCAATAGTACTTTTTTTAAAAAAAAAAATTAATTAATTTATTTTATTTTCGGCTGCGTTGGGTCTTCGTTGCTGTGCGCGGGCTTTCTCTAGTTGCGGTGAGCCAGGGCTACTCTTAGCTGTGGTGCGCGGGCTTCTCATTGCGGTGGCTTCTCTTGTTGTGGAGCAAGGGCTGTAGATGTGCAGGCTTCAGTAGTTGTGGCGCACGGGCTCAGTAGTTGTGGTGCGCCGGGCTTAGTTGCTCTGCGGCATGTGGGATCTTCCCGGGCCAGGGCTGGAACCATGTTGTCTGCATTGGCAGGTGGATTCTTAACCACTGCGCCACCAGGGAAGCCCAGCAGCACTTTTTCAAATGTGCATGCAAAGAACTTCTTCAAGGAGCTGGGAAGGTCACTGGGAGAAGTGATGGATAAGGGCCAACTGGGAAGCTCATTAGAATGGGAGCTGCTTCTGCGTCTGCCCTTAGGTCCTGCCTTCATTACTTGAGAAATGCTTTTGTAAACCTCGACATGGGTGGGGGGGGGGGGGGGGGGCGGCACGCTCCCAGCGTGTCGGCTCTCCTCTTCATCTCAGGCTGTAAACCAATGCTGGAGGCAAAGGCCTGGCAAAGGACCATTACTCACTTTTAATGAGACAGCTAGGTAAATAAATTGGCATGTGTTAGTGAAATGGCTCATCAAGGTGAGTAATTATCTTCGTGACTGGGGCAGTTTACCCTCAGGTGAAGGAATTTGCATCTCCTCTCTCCCGGGTCCGTGGCTCTCCAGAACTAAGCAGGAGGCCAAGGGCAGCTTGACCACTTGTTCCAGATTCCCTCCCCCATGTCCAGTCTAGCTCTTCAGCAAGGACTTGTCACTCCCCAAGTTCCACAGCTCTTGTGGACATAGACAGCACAGCTGATCATAGGGGACCAGAAACATACAAAGCAGTTGTTTCATATTTTGTAGAGTGGCGTGTGTGTGTGTGTACGTGTGTGCGTGTGTCATGTATGTCTGTGTGGTGGGGACAGGCCAGCCACTTCATAGGGCCTGTAGGAAAGGCTATCAGGAGCAGTTCTAATTGAAATTACCTGCTTCTTAGTCCTGAACCGAACTTTAAAGTCCAGTATTCTCTCCTTTGCTTTCTCATGCGTTGATCTTGTGTCCTACACACTTAGCCTCTAGTGATGTCCAGGTGTATGACACTGGCCACATGTTTGAGCATCTTTTAAGGAAACTTCCTTATTACCATTTTGTCTGTTTGATGAATATTGGTTTCATCTTCTGAGACAGATCATAAACTCCAGGAGACCAAGGATGAGGGTGTCTCCTTGGCCTCCATGCCCTATGGAATCTGCTGCAATTCTCAGGATGCAGAAGACTCTGTCATAGGGTAAGTTTCTCCCTGGTCTCAACATCAAGAAACACGGGAAGCACTGAAGATTTGCGAGCAGGTGACTGATGGTATTTCCCTCTAGGCACGGGCTACCGGGAGGCTGAGGTGAGGGCTAATTCGCTGCCTAACCCTGGTTCATGGCACGCTTTGTGCCCCACCCTCACCCTTGACTCTGCCTGACTTTCTATTTTTTATTTTGATTTTTTTTTGCTAGATGGTAAGCTCCATGTGGGCAGGCCTCTTCTGTTTTGACTTACCCTCTATCTCTATTCCCGGTTCCCAGCACTGTACCTGGCACTTAATACACATTTGTGGCGTGGATAAGCCTCAGGTTTTGCAACTTTGCCATCATTGAGCAGTTAAATCCTATTTGAAACAAAGTGAGGATAATGTACGTACACCCACACACTCCTGCTAATAATGAGACAATAGACTTGACTAATATCAAGTTATTGAGAATTACAGTTAAAGTGGGCTGAGTTGATTGGGTCTCTGGCTGTGGTGTTTACACTGCAATGAGTGTTTTAATAATGATGATGGGGAAATATCCAAATGGCTTTCTAGGATTCTTTTCAGTTCAGTAAGCTTAGTTTGAGATTGGAGTGTGGTGGGAGGGGTCTTTCATTCCTCATTCTCACTGGGGTGGAAGTTCTCAAAAACCCTTGGCAAGAGCTTTAAAGATTCCTGAATGGATCTATAGCTTAGACGGTGTTTCCAAAATCTCCACCTTCTCTTTTAGCTTCTCTCTGTCTGGGAGCAGATTGTCATGGTGTGGCTAACGTTACACTTGTTATACAGGAAACTCAGACGTGGCTGAGTTGATGGCATGGCTCACATCTGGATGACGGCAGGAAAATTCTACCAGAAAACCAACCTGTCTTCAGTATCCAAATGCGTGGCACTGTGAGTTCTATAGACCATTCACTGAGGAGGTTTCTGGGATGTTTTAGACCTGGCCGGGCTGCTGATTACGTGAGGTCATCCCTTCTAGCGCAGGGCTGAGTTCTGGGTTACAGAGCCTACATCAGGGATAGCAAGGGAGGCGTCACCTGCCAAGTGCATTCAGAGCCCTCACTTGGCCTTCAAAGGGGTGGGGGGTGGAGCTGTTTCCCTGCTTCCATTCACCGGGGTCCTCTCAGGACACTCACCGTTTCTGTCGATGGCAAAAGGCACATCAGTTGTGACGATTTCATAGTTGCAAATCTGGCTGTACTGTGGGGAGCAGTCCTCGTCGACGGCCTCCACCTGCAGGATGCTGTCGTAGATCTTGCCCTCTGTCACGACAGCCTTGTAGGCCGGCTCTTTGAAGGTGGGAGCAAACTCATTGACGTCCTTCACCTGGATATGGACCACGGCCCTAGGACCACACACAGGAAGGAAGAGATGGTGGTAAAGAAAGAATCATATCATCCTCCCACACCTCCCACAGGTACTGACTCAGGTCCCAAGGTCAGGAGAGTAGAGAGACCACAAGACAGTCGGGGTGGCTGTTGCCTGAGTGTTCTGTCCTCCCTCCCATTGAGACCCCTTTACCTGTCCTTGCCCCGATCCTCTGAGATGAATCCACCCCAGAGAGGTGCCTCCCCTTCTCTGACCTTCCTAGTTACAGAGCTTTAGGTGACGCATTTCCTCTATCTCCTCATTCCCTCTGCTATTCATTCACTCCAACCAGTAAGAATTGAACCACTCTTACTCTGGGTTAGGGGCTGAGCTAAACTCTATTTGAGAGTTACAACCCCAGATGAAAAGTGCTGTGACGGAGAGAAGCACATGGCCTGGCAGAAATCCAGGGAAAGGTCCCAACGAGGTCTGCAGGGATGGGCTGGCTGACAGAAGGCTTCCCAGAGGAAGTGACATCTGAACTCAGTCCTGATGGTAAAAATAGGAGTATCTTCATGGGGAGCAGAGGGGTGGAGTATTCTAGGGGTAGAAGGAGGCCCGCGCTGATGCCTGTAGGGGCCTGGGGACCTGGCCAGCAGTCAGGCTGGCCGGAGCAGCATGGTGTGACCACTGAACATGCATATCTGAAGAGCAGCATGTGAATGGAGATGGGAGGGCAGGGGTGAGGGGTCCAGGGAGCTCCATCAGGTCACTCACTTGTGCGATTTCTTCCAGGCCGTCTCCTGGGGCCCCGTGCCACAGTCGTAGGCCTGGATGATGAACGTGTACTCCTTCTGCAGTTCACAGTCGATGGGGCTCCTGGCGCGGAGCCGGCCCTCTCCCGACGTCTTGTTGAGCACCACAGCCTCGAAGGGCAGCTCCTGGCCATGGATCTTGAATGCACAGATTTCCCCTGCAGGAGGATGGAAAGCAGAGAGCGGGGATCCTGAGAACGGCCACACTGAACACAGAGCTTCGACTGCACCAGATTTGCAAACCCAAAACCAGACCATTTCCTCCACACAGATAATTGTCAATGCAGAAGCGGCCTTTGGGCTTCCCTGGTGGCGCAGTGGTTGAGAGTCCGCCTGCCAATGCAGGGGACGCCGGTTCGTGCCCCGGTCAGGGCAGATCCCACATGCCGCGGAGCGGCTGGGCCACTGAGCCATGGCCGCTGAGCCTGCGCGTCCGGAGCCTGTGCTCCGCAACGGGAGAGGCCGCAGCAGTGAAAGGCCCGCGTACCACAAAAAAAAAAAAAGAAGCGGTCTTTAGAAACTCAGACCAACACGTTCATGTCCTGGATGGTAAAGCTGAAATGTGCCCCATCCGGTGGACCCGGCAGAAAAAGTGGGGTGTGTGGGTGCTCATCAAGCAGGGAGCTGGCTGATATCTCACTTTGCCCCTTTTCCCAGGAGGTTTCTCGTTTGCCCTCTGCCCAGTATGAGATTAAGGAACTTGCCCGCAGTCAAAAGACAAATGACTGCAGAGGAAAGGAGACAAAGGCCAAAGCTTTCAGTGTCTTTTGTTTTGTGACAACATCCTTGATTCTTCAAAGTGTGCTCTGTGAAGCAGCGGCCTGGGCATCCCTGGGGAGCTTGTTAGGAATACAGACTCCCAGGTCCCACCTGGACCTCCTGAGTCAGTATATGCATCTGTTTTTTTTTTTTTTCTGGTGTGTCCATGTCCATGATGTCTTTTTTTTTTTGAAGTATAGTTGATTTGCAATATTGTGTAATTTTTGCTATACAACAAAGTGATTCGATTATATATATATAATGGAAAGAATATATATAACGGAAAGAATATATATATATATATATATTTTTTTTTTTTTTTTTTGCGGTACGCGGGCCTCTCACTGCTGTGCCCTCCCCCGTTGCGGAGCACAGGCTCCAGACGCGCAGGCTCAGCGGCCATGGCTCCCGGGCCCAGCCGCTCCGCGGCACGTGGGATCTTCCCGGACCGGGGCACGAACCCGTGCCCCCTGCATCGGCAGGCGGACTCTCCACCACTGCGCCACCAGGGAAGCCCTTATATTCTTTTCTATATAGTTTATCACAGGATATTGGATATAGCTCCCTGTGCTATATCGTAGGACCTTGTTGTTTACCCAGCCTATATATAATAGTTTGCATCTGCTAGCTTAATGAGGGTCCCCAGGTGATCTGCTTGCTCAGTAGCTGTGAGCAGCATTGCTTGGCTCTGCCCTTGACTCTTGGTTTAAGCGTCCTGCGTTGCTGTAGCCCCCTCCCCCTTCTCCCCTCCCCCCCTTCACGTCTCTCACCTACCACTTCCCTGCGGGGACAGGGACACCACTTGGAGTTGCCATGTTCTCTCCAAACAGCGGGGGTGAGTTTATGTGAGTTCCAGAATCCCTGTGGAGCCTGGAAAGCCAACTTCTTAAAGAGCTGACCATGTTGTGAAATGAATACATTTCTCTCCGTCAGCTGGGTTCATGTGTATTATAGCTATTTCTCAGCATTAAAACAAGACCACGAAAATATCTTCTTTATCTCAGTTGATGGATGTTTGTTTCTTGAACCCTGACTGTAAGCCCTGTAGTAAGTGTCCTGGAAAGTACTGAAGATTTGAGACACGTTCTCTTCGTGTGTTGAGGGAGCTTACAGGCTTGTTGGGGAGACGATGTGCAGACGTCCAGAAAGACCCTTCATAGAGCAAAGGGGTGTGTGAGTGTCACATGACACGGGCAGCAAGGTGTCCAGCTATAGGCTGCTGGGCAGTAAAACACAGGCTTGAGCCCAGGGGCCTGAGTCACATTCCAGGTTCACTACTGACTTGTTGATTTAGTCAAATTATAGTGACTCTCTGGGTTTCAACTGTGTCACCTGTAAAAGGGCCCAGGAGATAATGTTGCAGGGAGAACATCTACCTGACATGCCCCAAGCCTGGTCTGACATTGCCCCAGCTGCACTGCTGCGACCAGGATGAGGTGCCTACAGTCTGGAGTTTAAGGGGGGCCTGAGGCTCAGGGCGACCAGGCATCTGCCCACAAAGCACAGGCACCGTGAGGAGAAGGGGTAACGCGGCTGCACGGCTGCTGTGTGTCAGGCATCGAGCTTTGTACCTCCGCCCAGGTGATCTGGTTTAATCGTCACAACAACCCTGCAAGGCAGGTGTTTTATACCAATCTGTACAAATTAACAACAACAGCAAAAAGGATCAAAGGAGTTATTACTTGCTCAAGGTCACAGAGCGGAAGTTGGTGTAAACCCCAAGTATGGCTGAGTCGTAACTCCACGCCCTCTCTGCCCCACCGCGCCGTCTCCAAGCAGCCCCATTACTTCTAAGGGGACCGCCGAGGGAATTGCTTCCAGTAACATTCTACATTCCCACTCAAGGCTCACTCAGGAGAGGAAGTCCCCACCCCATTTTACATATAGGAAGGTGCCCCGATCTCTTACTGATAATGTTTTCTGAGATGGTCAGTCAATACCAGTTTTACCTTTAGGCTTTTGATTTTTATTATTTCGTCGATCCTCAATTTCATTATGAACACTCCACTTTCACTACATTCCCTCCTGGCCATTTCTCAAATGTAGTTGTGGAATAATGGACAAGACAGACAGCTTGTGGGCCAGGCTCTAACAAGAAGGCTGGTTCCCATTCCATCGCTGTTGCTCAGGCCAGTTACTGCCTCTCGGACAAGGCTAGCTCTGCAGCCTTCAGGGCAGGAGAACAGGTTACATCGCATCCTCAAGTTTCATTTCTGCTCTGAATTGGCTGGGGTTGAAGGGATGGACTTCTGACATATCTGCCTTGAGATTCTATCCCAAGATCAATGCCAATGTGGGAATATTAGCAGTGAATGAGCCCAGACTGGTTCTGGGGTGTTCTCTGGAGTGCCCAACTACAGCCATGATTCTAAGACCCATCAGACCAGACCATTTCTCTTTGAAGAGTCCAATTAAACTAAATATAAATGAGGGTCATTTTCTGTTGGAGCTATCTGATCACACCTAAAGTAGTTCTCAAGGCTCAGAAATCCTGAACAAGAAGAAAGGAGAGGAAGGAGGAAAAGGCAAAGGAGGAGGGAGAAATGCAGACATAAGGGGAAGGTAAGAAAAAGTAAACCTCAGGGCAACGTAATTTCATCCAACTAAATTCAGCTCAATAGAACCAGAATTTTTTGAGGATGGAGTAAGTAAGTGCAAGGCACCATGCTGGGGCTGGAGACACATAAAAAATGACTTGTATACCTTAAGGGATAAAGATACCCGATCCTCAAGTCCTCATTACCTCCTAGAAGAGACAGTGAAGTTCACAAGGGCGATGCCATGCTCACTTAGTTTGCACCAGCTCAGACTGAGATGGGACTTAGCCCCCTTTAAACAAAAACTAGAATTCATGCCACACTCATTTATCCCACCTCTTCATCTGACCTGTGTGTTCTGGTTGCAAAAACATTCATTCGTTTATTCATCCATTCACTCATCTCATATTTATTGGGGACCGTGCACCCAGCACTGGCAAAACAGTGATGAACAAAACCCTGGCCTATAAGCTGCTGGCAGTCCCGTGTGGGAGGGAAATAAGGAATCAGATAATCAGCTACCTTTATGAAGGATGGCGATGGTGATACACGCATTGAAGGAGGGCTTCTTGGTGCTAAGAGACTTCTGACCTGGGCAGGTCAGGCAGGGAGGTCTAAGCTAAGGATGTGATGGCTCAGCTGAGATCACAGGAAGAGAAACAGGGAGGCACCCAGGCCACGAGGGAGGGGACTGAGTTTCAGGCAGAGGGGGCAGCACACTGTAGTGCCCTTCAGAAGGAAGGGACACGGGACTGCAGAGACCGATGTGGCCAGAGTAGAGGCAATGGGGTAGGGCCAGTTTCATGGGTGTGTGACCTGAGAGGCACATGAGGGCCATGTACTCAAGAGGGCCCTGAGCTTGGTTGAAATCTCTGCTGTCACCATGTTGAAATTCTTAATAATTTTATCTTTGAACTTGGGTTTTGTAAAGGAAGCCTGATGGGACAATGGAGCGTGTTCCGGGCAGTGGAGATGGGTGTAAAGGCATGCCTCCCCGTTCCTGCTCTCTCTTCATATCTAGTGCTCAGGATGTACCACAAGCACAGCATTATGGTGGACCCACGATGTGGGGATGGGGGAGCGGCATTCAGGGGGAGTCAGAGACAGAACAAGGTAAGCATATGACAGCTACGAGTGCATAGTCCACTAAGCAGGGAGCTGACAGCCCCGAGAGGCTACCCCTTCTGTTTGAATCAAAATTGTTTTGAACACAGAAAAAAGGCAAGCAACCGAAGAACATGGTCCTATCCTTTCTTACTATGTTACCTCCCTGTAGTAGCCAATCACTTAGGCTGAAATTGATGACAGAGAAGAAAAGGAAAGATAAAACAATCCATTATTCCTTTCTTTTCACACCGTCCTTACTATCAGCAAGTCAAATACAGAGAATGTTGGTAGAATATGCGCATATCAAGAAGTGAAATGAAAACCATGGAGTACCATTTGTGTAGCCTTTACAATGCTCTGGTAAAGAATTAAATACATATGCATACCTGAGCTAGAACATGCAAATGCTGTAATTTTCAGAGATTCTGCAGAGCAGTTAACTGCTCTTCTGTTTGCATTTGAAACAAATGGGCATTGCACAGTATGAAGGTAAACTGTAAAATCTATGCTAATCATTTAAAAATTTTTCTTTACTTAGAATCACATCAAATAGCAAATTAAAAGCACAGCAAGTTGAGAGACTGTGGAAGGAATGTCCTGGGATAGAATCCTGAGGAGGAAGGATATTTAAAACTGCAGTTCCCAGTATCTGTGAATGACACATCGGGCTATCACGATCTTTTGTGAGGCCTGCCGCTAGAATTCGTTGTAACTAATAAAGAACTATAGTGGGAGGGTGATGTACTTAAAAGATC